CTAGGGTCCTGTTGACTACCTACCAGACCACCCCAACCCAACCCGAAGACCCGAATTTCGGGTTGGGGGGGGCAAGGGTTCCATACGTGTTTTTTCGATGGTTCCCGACCCCCCCCAACTGGAAATCGAAGGTAAGTTTGAGCCTTCGGGTTGGGTTGGGGTGGTTTGGTGGGTGGTGACCTGTATCCTCCCGGCTCGTGCGCCTCGAGGGGTAGGAGTGCCTCAGCACTGGCACCCTCCCGACGAGCCAGTCCAGGAGCCGCCCGGTGGAGCGCTGCTTCAGGGCGGCGTGCCAGGCACAGCCCATGAGGATGCCGAACACGGAGCCTGCGGCCACCTGCTGCCAGGTGTGGTCGCGCAGCACCGTCCTGCTCCAGCCCACCGGCAGCAGTACGCACGCGGACGCGCCCAGGAAGGCCGGGTGCCCTGGCAGAGCCTCCCACGCGAACCACGTGAGGAATGTGATGGTGCACATCGTATGGCCCGAGGGCATGCCGCAGCTGGTGAGGCAGGAGCCCACGGGGCGTGGCTGCCCGAAGGCCAGCTTGAGCAACAGCAGGATCCCCGACTGCAGGACGAGGAGGGCCAGTGCGAGCAGCTCCCTCGTGCCCCGTCTCCAGAGGAGCAGCAGCAGGAAGCCTACGCCCATGCCAAAGGGCACCGTGGAGTAAAACGCTGCCAAGTAGACCAAGAACGTCTGGTCGCTGTTCGGCCACGTGAGAGACGCGCCCAGAAGCGCAACTTTAGTGCCATAGGGGCACGACCGCCCGTCGACATGCCACTGGGGCGAGCATGTGCCTGATGCCATGGCCGCGGCGCCAGATGGTGGCAGCAAGCTGCTGCCTCGCGGAGAACTGGATATAGTCCACTGCTCGAGCGGACAGGCTGAGGGTGCGAGCCCGCCTCTCAATACACCCTGGCGTAAGGCGGTATATCGCACCGGCGAAGAGAGAGAGACCCGCCGTCGCCCTGGGGTGCCGCGATCTGGGGAGAAAGGCTTGAGCCAAAATGGCTACGGAGGTGTTGATGCCCGTTCTGGGCATATGATGCTGATCCGCCACCGTGCTGCTGGGCACGGAGTGGGCGTGTCCTCAGGTCCCTGGCCCAATCCCTGGAGCCAGCCTTCAGCCCTGAGGCTTTGGGGAGCCCGGGCCCCGAATCCCGAGCTCTGCCGGTGCTCGTCGCGCGCCCTCTGGGCTCCCCCGCGTCTCTCAGCATGACTGTCAAAGGGCCCAAAAGGAGGCCCCGAGGTGTATAGGAATAGGAATAGGAACCAATGGCGATGCCAATCCCGATCAATGGCTACCCTCGGCCTCGCTGGGCCTTTTCGGCCTTGCTGAGGACTTTGGGGGGGAGCCCTTCGTGAATTCTCCTGAGATGCTCGCGTCCTGTGGCTCCGAGGGTGTGCCCAGAAGGCGGTCCACGAGGGTCCCGATGCGCCCAGAGATCGGCCCAGGGCGCGGAAGATGGCCCCCAGGCGGCCCAGGAAGCCTACAAGACGCCCCACGAACCCCAGGGCCTCCCCAGAGGGCCTCAAGACAAAATCACGGATTCCCCCTTAAATGTGCGACAGTTTATGGCGTTTTCGCCTTTTCTGCTCCGCGACGCTCCCAGACTGCCCTAGAGGCCCCCAATATCCCCCCAAGACGACCCAAGAGGCCTCCAAGAGGGCCCCAAAACGGCCCAAGAGGGCCCCAAGACGGCCCAAGAAGCGCCCACCCAAGACGGCGTCGTCGTCGTCCACCTTCAGGGTCGGCGGCACCGGCCGTAAGTCCTTCGCAATCTAGGGGCACATCCTTGGTCGGCCCTGAGCTCCGCAGGGTGCCCCGGGGCTCCGGCGGGCCCATCGGGAAGGAACGACACTCCCACGGTGCACCCGCTGGCAGGCCCGCTTCGGAATGTGCCGCGCCTGCGGGCGGGAACTTCTGCCTGGCGTGACGCCCCGGCGGCCCCGGCGGCACGCTGCGCCCTGCGCGTGGACAGCGCGACGCTCCGCTCCACGGGCGGAGGGGGGGGATCGAAAACGGTCGGGACGTGGACGCCTCGGGACCGCGAGGTGGACAGCACGCCGCGCCGAGGCGCGGTGGGCCAGGACCGGCAGAACGACACGCTATTCAGAAGTTCCCGGCCGCACTGTGCAGTCGAAGTTTCGCCATCATAAGGACCGTGCGTGTGAAGAGGCACGGAACCCCTCGCTTGGTCCCAGAGGCACAAGGGAAGATCCGCGCAAGGACCCAAAGAGCGTCGAGCCTCATTCGAGAAACAGCGCACATGTTTTTATTTTTTCCCCCCCCAGGGGGCAATCTATGATCCGTGTGTCTTTCAAATGCCACCAAACGTGACAGGATATACCACCACGCTCAGGTCTAAGGGAAGAGCCAGTGCGGAAGACCACCCATTAGCACATCGAGACACAGGACCTGCAGGAAGAGACGACCCAACTGCGAGGCACACGCGTTACGATATTAGCTTTCGAGAAACAGCGCACACGATCCCAAAATTCCCCACTCGGGCTTGCCTGAGGGGTTCTCATCTGCTTCTGAAGCACCGGTGGGTACTCCAGATTTCGTAATGAAGGGAGGGGGGTCTCATTTCGGGGGGGTGCCTCTTCCAGGCCATCTTGGAGGGCCTGGGGGGGTCTGGGGACGATGTTTTGGAGGGTTCTCCCACGGGGGAGGTCTGAAATGGCTTGTCTTGGAGGGTCCCGACCCCCTCCCTTTTATTACGACATCTGGAGTACAAGGCCTGCGGTGGTCCGCCTTCCTCGGGCTGGTGGGTGCTGTTTCTTGCCTGCCTCCCTCGGCTGTTGCCTGGTCCTGCCCTCTCGACCGCTTTCCCCGGGCTGCTTGGTCTTGCGTCCTGACTTCCTTCCTCGGAATTTTCTGGGATCTGTGTCTTGACTGCCCTCCGCGGGATCCTCGGAGTTCTTCCTGGGCTGTCTTCCTCGGCGTCCCTGGTATTGTTTCTTGGCTGCCTTTCCGTAGGTGCTTGGTCATGCTTCTCGGCTGCCTTCCTTGGGTTGTTTGGTCGTGGTTCTTTGCTGCCGACCAATGCCAAGCAATGCCGGAGGCAACGCCAAACAACTCCAAGCAACGCAAAGCAAAACCAAGCAATGCCAAGAAATGCCAATCGATGCCAACCAATGCCATTCAATGCCCAGCAACGCCACGCAACGCCAAGCATCGACACGCAATGCCAAACAACGCCAAGCAACGCCAACACATGCCAAGCAAAGCCAAACAATGCCAAGCAACGCCAACACATGCCAAGCAAAGCCAAACAATGCCAGGCAATGCCAGGCAAAGCGAACCAATGCAACGCTAAGCAACGCAATGCCAAATAAAGCAGAACAAAACCAAACAATGCCAAGCAACGCGAAGTAATGCAAACCAGTGGAAAACATTGGCAGCCGACGCCGGCCATGAAGGTGATTTCGAAGGAAGTGGGGTGAGGGTGAGGGTAAAGAGTCCTGGAAGAGAAAACCACACGGCGTCTCACCCACTCCGACCCGCCCACACAAAGCAGAACTTGTACCTGACCAAGCGCCAGCTGCGCCAGGTGACCCAGGTGCTCCAGATGCACTTGATGCGCCGAATGCGCCACGTGCGCCAGGCACGCCGACAGTGATACCATGTGCGCCGGGTTCGCCGCGTGCGCCAGATGTTCTAGGCGCGCCTGGAGTGCCACGTGCGTCGCGCGCTATGTGCGCCACGTTCGCCCAAAGCGTGCGGCTGGTACGCCACGTGCGCCAGGTGTGTCATTTGTACAAGGGGCACCGAGTGCGCCACGTACGCCACGTGCGACTGCGCCAGGCGCGCCAAATGCCCAAAGTGCGCCAGGGGAGCCAAGTGGTCCTTGCGGAGCAAGTGCGCCAAGTTCGTCAGCGCACGTGACGGCACACATCGGACGACGTTGGGCTGGAGTGGTTGGCATACATGGGGGGACAGTATAGTTTGACCATGAGACATCAAGCTTTGGACACCTCCGACCCCCCCCCCGAAGACTCTTAGCGACCGATTTGTGGCCAGGGCGCGGTCCGAATCCGATGGGCTCGTACCCCATAACGTATCAATAATAGAATGAGGAATCTATAGTATTGGCAATAATACGAATAATGAAAATACAGATAATAATAAAATGGTACTAACAATGCATAACACGAGTTATCTTCATACTAGAAATAATAGTAATCATGAAAAATCATCATAACAATGAGAATGCGAATGACAATCAGAAAATATAGAACCGTGTGGTGATTATTCCGTCCCATAAAACATTAGCCCTGAAATCATTTCAACTTGGACCAGCTCACAGCGCAATCACTCCGCATGGGTCACTTGAGATTGTCAGTGTCATCTTCGTCATCGCCGTCGTCATGCCGATGGCAACGCGATGCTCCATTGTATTCGTTCTCACTTTGACGCAATGTGGCCCTGGGAATTCCTATCTAACGCTGTCGCTCTTGCTTCGCTGGCCGGCCATCTCAGAAAGCTCACGAAGGCTCGCGACTCCGCATCAGGGCACTTCTGCATCCTAATCGGTCGTCCACGGCACGCGGGACCAGCTATGCAATTTTCCGCCGATGGTCAAAAACTTGAGTACTTTGTACAGGGTGTGCCACCTTGTCACCCTGCGTATTCTTCGGCGGTGGACAAACCTCCCCTTAGTAAACCTCCCCTTAGTGAAAGCGGCCTGGGACCGAAACCGACGGACATGGACCCGCAAAAATGACGGCCGCGACGCCCTCTCGCGAACCGAAAACGGCCAATTCCTTAATCGACGTGTCAGGGCAGGAGGTCTGTCCACCCCCGAATTCTGCATGTTTGTCCACAAAGGGTTGGCAAAAAGCAAGCATGGCCCCTGGTTGGCGGCAACCCGAGTTGCGGAGGGGGTCTTTAACAAGGATCAGGGGTACGGCGGATTCGAGCGGCGACGACCCCGGCGTTGGTTTCTGACACCGCGTGGATCGTTCATCCTTGAAGGATCAGCGGCCTCATGAG